TGGACCACGGATCTTCCGGTCAGTAGATCCGCGCTCTAACTCACTGATTCCACCCCATATATCTCTTCTCATTCAATTAACTCTCGACTACCTAACCGTTGCTCCGTGTCCAAACAGGCGATGTTTGTGGTGCTAATGCGACGTCGGCTTGACTATCAAGGGTAGGGTGTACACTGCCGCGGTCATATCCGTTCTATTTCACGGATCAGAAACATTGCCGCTGCTTGTAGGTATTCGGATTCTGTTTTTGACCATCGGTACCTCCGAAGAATTGCCCGGGTCTGGTTGGAACATCAGATCAATAATCCTGAAGTATGCCAGACGGTTTCGGAGGGTTCACTCTCCCCCGATAGATCAGCTGCACGGGTTACGCTGGTTAACCAATGTGGTTCGCACTCCAGATGACCACTTGCCTTGTTGATCTCCCTTCACCGGGCCTTGTGTGAAATGGCGACAACCCAGGGTCGGTCATTCTGTGATATGGCAACGAATCATGAAGGACCTTAAGAGGCAACTCAGTCTCAGTGGTAAATGCCACCTTTCAGGATGGAAACCACGGGCCGAGGCAAATCAAGGGTTAGTGATCATGAACGATATAGCTGTGTCGCGCACTCACCCGCGCTTTGCTTCAGGGCTATCTTCTTCACTGCATAGCCTTCTTTCCCTGCCATAACCGACAGAAAGAAAGCGTTCAGCTGTAGCACCGTTTCGGTGCCTAGATGCCATGCCACCCGAAGGTTGCACGAGGGTTGGGATACTGCCAGGTTGCCCAAGCCCATAACCGGCGGATAACTATCCGACGTCAGTGAACTGCTAGAACCATAGCCTCCAACGCGTCCCACGCCTGGCTTTCATTTTTTAGTTTTCTTATCCACGGTGGACCATGTTGTAACACCTGAAACCAGCGCAACTCGATGCACGGTTTGAGGGCTGAAAAACTAAGCTGAACAGATACCGGACAAAGCCACGTACAGCACTGGGCGCTCCTATTAGAAAACTGACAGTGTGAAAGAGGGTGCACAGTTCTGCTTTGGAATTAGTTCATCTTCCATCGGTCTATTTGGATAATTTGGTCGCAAGAGGTGCTTGAGCGATCGCCAATCGACGTTAGTTTGTGCAATGTGGCCACCGGTTGTCTCCATTACTCATTAAATGACACTAAGGGAGCGGTCTTACTCTGCTCAGAACATGATTCCTTTTCACGTCTGTAACGAAGTTTACCGGACTGAATATAGTTGATGGGGTTTGGTAACGATGTTGGCCATCTGCGGTGCTGTTCAGTATCTCCCTACACTAGATTACACATCAGTCACTACATAACTACTGTGGAGTTCGGCTGAGTTGGGAGGTCCGAAACGCTTGGATCAAACACGTCCAAACTTCCAGGTACCGTAACTCACTTTTGCTCCCTAACGCTCATGATCTCAAAACAACCAACGTCTGCCCCTGCGGCGCATGAATTTGCTCACGATCAATGCACAATGTGGATGGCTCGAAAATGGTCCATTGATTGTGGTCCTGTATACCATATGTCCAATCCTTTGTGCCGTTGAAACACCTGAAGACAGGCCCATGAAAACCAAGCTGTGTTCCGTCCCGCAAGAGGATGCATCCATCATATCATCACCCTGCGACAGGTTCTTGAACAGTGACACTGCTTCCAGTAACCAACAATGGTTGTGTTCCTCGATCTGAAACCTGCCTTTGACTCTGTGGACCGCCAAGCACTGTGACATTGTCTGTGGAGCAAAGGTATCCATTCTTCCATCTTGACCCTCCTTAAGACTTAAACTTACGGTGCCAAGCCAGTTTGAACACGGTGATCTGGTAGAAACACCCTTGTTGCAAGGTGTGTTTTCATCACCGGTATATAGTGTTCATTAGCGGATGGTTAACTAACATGATTGAAACCTCTTCCCATGGTTTGGGAATAATAATAATATGTGTCGTGCATTGCCTCCAAGCAGTTCGCTAGCGAAATCAGGCTTCAGTGAACGAAAAGTGAATGTTGATGTGCAGACAGACATAAAAAGCGAGTGTCATGGATTGTCTTGGTCACTTCCGCTTGCTTTGACCCGAAAGTGACAGACAAGCATTAGTAGTAGCAGTCGGAAGCCTCGTTACAACGGGAGTCCAACTGACACCTCTGTGTTTACTAGATTTACTGCAAGTACCCCTTTGAAAAGGGATGCCATTATAGACACATCCCATTTGTCACCACCATCATCACCCACAAAAACAACAGCAATGGAGGAAACAACATCATTATTGCCACTGGTGCTTCACCGCTGAACGACTGCACAGTTCATCTAATTATCTTGGAAGCCATAGAACGAAAAGAAAAAGGTGGGTGAGAAGGGGGACTTAGTATTGACCTATCGCAAGCGTTCTGAGGTGCCTGCACCTCCAAGCGTTTAGATAAGCAATCTGGAAAGAAACTGACAGCACGAACACTACTGACATAGATCACCCGCCATTTCTTGCACTGTCTTCAGCAAGGCACAGGAGGGGTCATGAGCCCCATCCTGGAAGGTGTACCCCACCAGCAACATCCAAACTCTTTGTCATCTCTCTTACACCATTCTGCCAAGTCACATTGACTACCTCGCCCTTTCTGCCAATCTGAAGGAGGCACAGAGAGCAACACCTCTCGGTAGACGCTTTTTCGGCAATAGTACCATATGGCCGAGCCACCGCGGTTGATAGAGCTGGATGTTTCCAGCGACTGAAGTACCTGCCACATAATCAGATGCCAGTCTGCGTTTCCACCCATTTCTAAGCAAGCAAAATAAAAACAAATGCAGCTTTTCCAACGTACAGCTGTCTATTTGAAAGTATGGGTCACCTACTCCAAGACGCCATCCGATATCGGCAACGCTTCGGAGGCATGGGTGACCAAAAACCTTAAAACACCTCACTTCATCTATTCGTAGAAGCCATGTTTCACAACCATGTAACAATATAGCCTTTACTGTAGCCTGGTACACGCTACCCTTGATATCAAGTGACGCAAATTAGAAAACATGATTCAGCCCTTTGTGATTCGTGCCTGACCAGACAGAGTTAATACAACTACCGAGATATATGAAGTTCTCCAGTTGCCCACTAATAATAATTAGTAATAAATAATCATCCCTTTCGGTGTGTAGCTGTCGTTCCACGTTATTGAAGTGCGAGATACTGCCAGGTTGCCAAAGACTAGACAGCATTGGTCGAGATGCTGAGGTTGGGTTCGAAGGACGGACCTCCAGGCTGTCTGGGACGTTCTTCTCCCAGATAAATACACACGCTAGACAGACACTGGCTGACTAACAACCGTTCTTGGACGGAGCAGGTGGAAGGTCGCCTAGATAAGGCGCACAATGATGCTCGAGTAGAGATCGGCATTCAGACATCTGAGGCTAAACAGGGTCTCACAGTCACACTCAGTATTCTTGTTAAAGGCAGACATTCCGATTGGGGATAACAGGTGGTCAAACTGACTGTTGTTCGAAGTATTGTTCCAAGCTGTCCAAACGTCTTTTTGTTAAATACCAGGAAGCCATTATGGTCCTTGGTGGTATAGCTAACAACGATTTCGAGAATTATTCAAAGGAATGCAGTAGAGCAGTTTGCGGATACACCCAGCGTTTTTCGCATCTTTCATTTGTTCGAACTTCCCAATCTACCAAGTTTCCGGTGGCAATGCAGTTACTCAATGGGCCACTTACAACCCTAGGAGAGGCAAACGTGTGAAACGTTTTATGTATGTTGGAAGTTGTATTGGTGCTGATCGTTAAATGACAACTGAGGTCAATGCACGGAGTTCTGAGCCTCGGGTGACGTTCTTTTAATGTGGGACACCTGTGGCGGCAAAGCGGTACATTCATGAATCTCAGGGGACGTGTGTTATGCTCCTGTTTGGGTCATTTTACTATGTGGCTGTTAGATGGCTTCTCTGAGCAGCGGAAATCATACATCTTCATGTCTTCGACAACCGTTGTCCGAGGACCNGTGTAGGCTGGTGTGGGAGAATTTATAACGAGGCAATTAGAAAGCGAGTTGTTCGGTTGGAAGCAGAGATTTCAATCAAACACTGTTTCTAGCACAAGAAGCTGCGATGGTTAGGTCATACATTGCGCACTTCGGAACATCGTCTGCCTTAAGATCTATTGTTTTCGTGCCCAACTTGGAGTGACGCAAACTGAGGGGTGGTCAACCGTTGGTCTTTGACCTTGCAGAGAGATGTAGAAGTGATTGTAAAAGTTCTATTTGCTCTCGGTGTGACTAGCCTTCCAGGATGAATTCCGCGTGATACCCCCGTGCATGATCAGAGGTGCTGCAAGATACGGCTGCCAGTCGATGTCACTGGGTTCGTTGTCAGTTTCTCTCTAGATTGCTTCAATGGGCGTCTGAAGGTATAGGTACCTAGAGGTGATCTGTTAGAATAACACTGAGCCCATTCCACCTTCATTTTTCTTCATAATAAACCTTTCAAATAAATTATGGTTGCAAGGCAGCGGATCATCAACGCTGAACACTGATGTGCCGTCGGTGATGATGGTGGTGATGATGATGATGTGTTGTTTGGTTTAGTGGCCTGGTTTAGGTAAGTGCAAGTGAACACGGCAAACTCTGTTTCCAGTTTCTAATTTTCGAACTTTCGCTTCATCATGTCTATGTTATCATTACTTTGATGTTACTCGGAATCTGCGTCAGCCTTGTTCAGGAACGTTCGATTATTCCACTCACATTTGTTCTTCAAGTCACTTCCAGAACCATCGTGCTGAACTACCCGACTGACCTGTTTGTCTTTCTACGTTTTCCTTTTTTAGCCCGATCTACTACACTCGAACTCCTCTCTGCCATTATACTTCGGTTCTCTCATTATTTCCACCTCTTTAAGACTCGATTTAACAGCTTCTGTTGAGGTTCATCCTTCCATTTGAATAAATAATATTTCCTCTAAGTTAATCCAATCTTTCCACGTGATCATCTTTCCATTTAATTTGATTATTTGCAGGACTTCTCTGGTTTTGTGGATACATTCCCTCTGCAGCCGCTCTGATTTGAAGTGGCTGAATCTGTTGTTCGAGAGAGTATCTATGCTCAAATATGCCTAGTGTAGTAGTACTATTTCTCACACTTGAACATACAAGGCTCATTTCATTCTCCTTTCAGGGGGTACATTCTTCCTGAATTTCAATTGACGTGGTTCACTTATTGATGCAACCGTTTGTGAGATTACGGTAGTCTTCTTAAGGTCTATCATATTTTATGTCGCAACAAGGTGAATATTATTCAATTACTCTACTGCTAACACCTACTAGTGTCGGCGAAGGGATCAACAGTCTCGTTTCATGATGTCTCCTATGAGGTTTCGGTGCGCAAGTTTCCATGGAGCTGTCCTGTACACCTACCAGTTCTTTCCAATCTGAAGTGAGTTTTATTCACTCTGGAAACCAGATTTTTCATCCACCAAGTCAGACGACTAGTCCTTTGTGAAAGACAGATGTGACAGCTAGCTCACATCGCGTCGGGTTTTCAGTTCCATATGGAACACAAAATAGGTTTGTGACTGCCCGGTCGGATGTA